TACACCCATCCCATCCTCCCGGTCCCCACTGCCTGCTGACATGTACTGTAAATGGACCTTTAGACTCTTGAAAGCTGAGAATTCCCTGCTTCCCATAGCAGATATCTGATAGCTTCTTTTCTACAGAACCAGGCTCAATTATCTCATTTGAGAGATCTAACCCTCCCAACACTGCTTTTCCAGGAAAAGATTTCCAGCCTTTCCTCTGGTCTCCTGTGACCCTGAGAGATGACCTCATACCATCTACCTCACTGTTCCTTAATTCTTGATTTCATCTTCTGAAACCTTTGGCTTCTCAGTAGCTCTGTTCCTGGCTCAAAGCAGGATATCAGTAAATGATCCTTAAAGAGAATGAATATTTTATTTCCTCCTAATCACAAGCTTGAGATCAGCATGCTATACTTTATGTATCTGGAAGCACTTAACAAGCAAGGGTGTCAGTGAACATGGAAGAGAGCCAGCACATCCGTCGTAGCCTTCTTGGTCTTTTCCATGTGGACTTGAATAATTCAGACTCTTCCTTGCATTCTCCATTTCTTTACTTCATAGGAACCAGCTCAGTATCCCAGACTCCTGGTTTCCAAAACCAGACTGTCACGTCTTGCTAAATAAGGAGACCATAGAACTTATCACACAGATCAGTACACTCTGGAGAATGAAAGGGCAGTATTGATGAAGGCAATACTGGGGAGTGCCACGGCCCAGCAGGAAGATGTGGGCACTCTCAATGCTCTGCCTAGACTGGGTACAGCGAGAAGCTGGATAAAGGACAATAAAGGAGGTTTCAGAGCAGTGGCTGACAGGATTTTAATGTGAAAACAACGTGTTTCTCCTCCTCCATACCACATCCCAACATCAGGGAGTGCTTATCTCTTTGGAGAAAAAGATTTTTCCAGCGTCTGTCTATGCCTTCTTATGCAGTTCCTCTGCCCAGAGAGTTCTTGTTCACACTGGATTGTCTGTTAAGCCTCTCTGCTGACCGGACTATAAACCCTGGATGTGTTTTTGAGGTCACCTGACTGACTGGTCTACCATTATCTTTAGCACCGAGCAGCACGTGGTAACTACCTGAGGTGTAACCCACGTTGGGTGCTCTTCCCTTCAGCCTGTGTAGGAGCTCTGCACAGTGACTTCAGATCTGGGTGGGCACACTTCTAACACCACCGTGCAACGTGGGACTTCTCTAAAGTCCCATGTTATCTTTGTATCAACCATGAAATTAGAAGCTAATGGGACATGTTACTAAGCAACCGGCATTTTTAATGGTTGCTTACAAATAAGAGTGAGTAAGCAACATTTCCTTAAGATATTGGAAATCTAAGTAGTGCTAGTTTATTTCTTTGGCAAAATGTTACATGAAAATTCTATGGAAGAGGATCCTGTTCCCCAAAGTGGTCAAAGATACAGACTGCCTGGGAATAAACACAATTCAATGCTTAGAAATGATGGGAATAAAACTAAAATACTACGCCAAGAGATATAAAATTTTTATAATAAGAGATATAAATATAAATTAAATTTCTCAAAATGAACATGCTGAGTTAATCTCTTTTTGTTTATGTCAATCAAAATGTTAGCATTATTTTTCTGGCATTTTTATTATATAAAGTACATTTATACAAAATAATGGCATATAAAGGTGGCCTAAAAAATCTGAAGAAAAAGTAACAATGAAGAGGAGACTCATTTCCCCTAAATTTCAAAAACCATAGGCATAGTGAGAGTAGCGTCACTCATAGTAGCCATGAGTTTAGGAATGTCAGAGGCAGCTATGTCAGTAATGCTACTACTAGAAGCATTGGTTTTGGTGTGTGTGTGTTTATACATGTATACATTGAAATGACAAGCATACAAGCATACTAACATACCATGGGTTGTACCTTTTCCCCTCCACTTTCCATGCTCGTACCTAAAATCTGCTACCTTGCCCAATCGCTGGTATACAGCATTAACTCCAATCCCTGTGTTGTAAATCATGGCTCCAGATTTATTATCCTATGTAACTGCAAGTTTGTGCCCTTTGACCTATATGTTTTATTTATCCTAGTCTTGCGGGGGTGGGGGGTGGGGGGGTAGGGGGGAGGTGTCATCACCTATAACTATTGATCTTTTTTTTTATGCATTCAATTTGCTTGTTTTGTTTTAGTTTTTTTTTAAAAATATGTGCATTCCTTTTGACCTTGCAAGCTTCCTTGTAGAAATGGTTCCTAAGGAAACAAAGGCCCCCAAAGACCTGTGTGGAAGTAATGTTTCTAATAAACAAAAGTAGAAAAAAAACCTAAAAGCCTGATGCTAGGGAAAACAGATGAATAATTTATGAGACATGCCTTCCTGAAACACTATCCAGCCAACTGTAGATCTCCCAGCCCTGAATTCATGGAGTAGGCAAGACTCCTGTTGAAGCAAAGCAGGTATCTCTCTGATAGTTTCAAATAAGTGTTCCCTCGGTGGCTTTGAATGAGGACTATGGAAATCTTTCCTTTAGCTTTATTGTTTTATCTTTTTATTAAACTCTTATCTTTAAAAGGTTATGTGTTTATTTATATAAAGACACCCTAGCTGTTGATAAACAGATAATTGCCTCCCTGAGAAACCTGAATTCCGTAGGCAGACCCAGAGCTGTCTTCCAGCCACCCATTAGTCATACTTCGAAGTAAGAGCTTCCCTGCCTAGTGTGCAACAGTATGAAAGAGCTCGTGCCTGATGTGTGTGGGGCCTGGGGTACTTCAATCCGGGGGTTTTATTTGCCTGGTTTACAGGCTGTGGTCTGGGTAATCCAACAATGGCTGTCTTACCATGGAAAGACCCAAAATCCAGCAGTTCAGGAGATAGGATGGATGTCTCAGTAGCCCTGATCTGATGCTGGGATTCTGGAGGGTTCCTAGAGTGCTGCTAGTTTTTAGCTGATGTTGGAATCTGAAGAAATAGACTCTAATACCAACGAAGGAATGCCTTAGCGACAGGGTAAATGAACTTGCCAGCGAATGTGAGGGCAAGCAGGCAAAAAGCAAAGCTTCTTTACTGCATGTCTTTACAGAAGGCGGGTCCCAGGTTTAGGTTGGGTCTTCCTACCTCAAAAGATCCAATCAAGACAATCCATCACAGGCATGTCCAGCTATTTGAGTTTTAGTTGGTTTCAGATATAGTTAAGTTGACACCCACAAAAATTAGCCACCACAAACAGAGGTACACATGTGCAAGTGGGATAGATTGAAATTTCTCATTACTGAGTACAAAAAAAAAAAAAGCTTTCTGAAGTAAACATAAAGCATGCCAATGCTATTTCAGTTAGGAAGACCTGGCTGCAGGAAGCTGTCTGTCACCAGGAAGAGCACCAGGAAGTTACTACCAGGAAGAGTAAGTACCATGCTGACCTTTTCTCTTTCTCTCCCTTCCCTTCCTTTTTCTCTTCCCACCTTCCCTCTTTCCCTCCTCTTTCTCTTTTCTTCATTTCATATTTGACTACTGAAAGGCTTTAAGCAGTTGAGAGATCCCAGGCTCGGAACCACAGTCTGTTTTAGTCGACAGATAACTGAGACCAGAGCAAAGTGAAGCCTGGAAGATGGGCTCTAGCTCTGAGGCTGTGCTTGCTTGTCATCTTAGACAGTCCCTTTCCCAGATCTATGCTTGAAAACCAATGCCTAGAACAACAAAGATTCCTGTTCTGAGACCTTGTTATCTGGGTGGGGGGTTGGGGGGGGGGAGGTCTGGCCCCTCTGCTAGTTAGTAGAATCAGTTCCTGTGAAGTGCTTCAGGAGCAGCCTGCTGTCAGTCATCAGGGAACCCTCCTCCCAAGTTTTCTCCTTTGTTTCTTTTCTTCCCCTTCATAGGAAATTGGGACTCAGCCACCAGAGGGAGGAGGCAGGGATTCTTGTGCTGTCAAGGGTAGGTAAGGCAGACAGCTTTCTAGCAGTGGGCAGACAGGTTAATTGGACACTTGAAGCCTTTACTCTAGTTGGGGGTTAGGAAGTATAGAGACAGATAAAGGAGTCCAAAAGACATCTCCTCTGTTTCCAGAGGTTCTAATGATAGGACACGTCATAGTATATAAGAATACATTTGTACTCATTCTGTAGGAAGGCATCTACACACACACACACACACACACACACACACACACACACACACTGCTAATATTTGTTCTGAATTAACCTTCAACCTACTTGTCATTCATCCTAGGGGCTCAGGAGGAATTTAAGACCCAATGGCCTTAGCATATACAACACGACCCCCCTACCCCCCACCCCCCACTACTATACAGAGATAATAATGAGGAAAACCCACCAGTTACACTGAGAGAGGAGACCATGCGGAGAGAATGAATAGCACCATAAAACACAGGAGCAAGACTGACAGGACCAGAGGCCAAGACCAGACCATGAAACTTGGCCTTAGTTTCTCTCCTTACTTATATAACTGCTGGCTAGAGACCATAGATCTTTAGGGTGAGCATCCTGTCTTCTCAGATCGCTGGCTGAAGAACAAAAACAGTTCCAAGACAGATCCCGTGACATCAAAGCACCTATCATGCTCAAGTGTCCCCCAAACACTCCCCCACCCCAGCCAGTTTCCATGCCGACGTCAACTTCTGTTACTTTAGAACAGAGGCTGTTGGGTGAGGCAGCTTGGAAGGGAGCAGGCTTCACTCAGCAATCTGGTCCTGACTTGATTCTGCCAGAAAAAGACTGGGTGGGGTTCAGTCAGGGATGACTGGGTGGGAGTTTTCCTATCCTGGGAAAAGAAGTCTAGTCAGCTGCCTGCAGTGGCGCAGGGAGGAGGGGCGTGATTAGCGTCAGCTGTAGAAAGCCTAATTCCTATCAGTGAACCTCCCAATTTGCTTAGAGATGGCCAGCAATGAGAAATGTGGGTCTGCAGCCCCAGAGCCCCAGCGGAACATTCCTAAAACAGTCAGTCACTGGTGTCCTAGTTTGTTTTCTATTTCTGTGAGAAGGACCTTGACCAAAAGCAACTCTCTCAAAGGAAAGGGTTTATTGACTTACAAATTCTGGTTCACAGTCCACTGAGAGAAGTCAAATTGGAACTGGAGGCAGAAATCTGGAGGCAGGAACTGAAACAGAGACCGTAGAGGAATGTTGTCTACTGGCTTGCTCATCTTTCTTTCATGTATACCACAGAACCAGCTGCCCAGGGGTGGCACCGCCCACAGAGAGGCGGGCCTGCCCACCACGTTCTCGTGGACCTCCACATCAGTCATTATTATTGGACTATCTCAACCTGCCAGCTTCCGAATAATAACATAAACTTATATTTATTTATGAGTTCTTAGGCCTTATAGCTTAGGCTTGTTCCCAACTATCGGATAACTTAATAAACCATTTATATTAGTCCACGTTTACCATATGGCCCGATACTTCTCATTCTGTCCCGGTAAGTCCAGCTTCCTCCATGTCAGGTTGGCAAATCCTGCGCCTGATTCTACCCACAGTTCCTATCTCTACCCGGATGTTCTGCCTTTCCTGTCTTGCCCTGCTATAGAACATCAGCTCTTTATTAAACCAATCAGAAAGTGACGGGAGAAGATGTTTACAAAACAATGAGGCTAAGGACTCTGGCTAAAACTCTGGCTAAGGACCAAGGCATTTGGGCTTCAGGGCCCTGAACAGTGTCCCAAGGAAACAAGTGATGCTTCATAAAAATAATACCAAAGTGTGGACAGTACTCTGCTTTCTGGTGGCACAGAAATCAACATTTGAATAAAAAAAAAGACACCCTTTATACAGTGCAGAAGAAGATTATCCCAGTAAGCTGTAAATCAAGAAAATGCCTGGTAGATTTGCCTCAAGCAATCTGAAGGCGTTTTCTTAATGGAGGTTTCTCTTCACAGCTACCTCTAACTGGCATTTATGTTGACAAACAACAACAAAAACCCAAACAACACACCAGGAAACCTAGTCATCACTATTTCGGAAAGAAGAAAAGGGAGTCTGTGAAGATTCTTTGAAGCCAGGGCACGGGGATGACATTTCACTTGGAGCCTGGTTTAGTTGTGTTTAAGAAGGATGTCAGTCTGCATTAGGGGCCATCTATGAACTTGGCTCTGCTCCAAAAGCTGGGGCTGTGGTAATAAGCAAGACAATGAAGCTGCTGACACTAAGGAATGCACTTTTAGAAGGAATTATAACCTGAATCCTACACTTAGGCCAGTGTGTGCTTAGCAAATACTCTTTTATGCTGATTGAGGCCATTATGTCCTGACTGAACGCTGCCTTAAGGAGTGTCCTTTCCTCTCTCTTTTCCTCCTTCCCTTCCTCTTGACACCCTTATCTTTTTCTGCCTAGCCTTAAACTCCTGAACTCAAGTGATTGCCCTGCCTCAGAACAGCTGAGGTATTCTTTGTAGATGTCACTCTGACAATCTCCCTGAACCCACTCCTCCTCTGGCTAAGGACAATGGCATTTGGACTTCAGGGTTCTGAACAGTGTCCCAATTCTCCTTTTTGTATGTTCTCTCCCAGTTTGCCCCAGCTTTGGTGATTCACCCAGGAACATCAGGCTTGGTCCCTGAGCTTATTCTGAGCTGTGGGCGGAAGAAGAAAAGGGGAGCATGGAACAGGACATTGTGTCAGGGTTTGAGGTATCTGGGGGACTGATCAAGGAAGAAGATATGATCATCACTGCAGGGGAAGGGAGAGCGGAACTGTTCATGTAAACACTGGATTGCTTTTTGTCTTTCTGTGAAATACTTCTCCAATTCCTAACATATTATGAACTTGTACTTAAAATCTCATACTGTAGAATTTTAATTGTAGAAACACATTGTTTATAGATGTATTAGCCACTTTTCTGTTGCTGTCATGAAATACTATAACTAAAAACAATATATAAAAAGAAGGGTTTATTTTGGGTTACAGTTTCAGGGGACAGAGTCCATCATAGCAGGAGGATGATTCCATTATAGCATGGAAGGCATGACACAGTGGTGACAGCAGAAAGCGGGTTGATCATATTTTCTACAACACAAAGTAAGCAGGAAGACTGGGCAGGAGGTGAGGAGAAACCAGAAACCCTCAAAGCCCAGCTTTCCTCCAGTGAGGCTCCATCTCCTGAAGGTTCCACAACCTCCCTAAATAGCACATAAACTGGAGGCCAAGAATTCAAACATAGGACACCATGGGGGACACTTTTAATTCAACTCACAGAGGCTTTTGCATTTCTATATTCAATTAGTGAATAACAGTTTTAGGTAATTGTAATTTTTCCCTACACAAGACTACATCATTATATTTGCATTTAATGCCTATCAGTGACCAAAACTCATGCATACACTTATAGTCCTAGCATTTGGGAGACACAAGCAACAGTATCTTGAATTTAAGGCCAGCTTAAGGTAAACAGTATGACCCTATCTCAAAGGACACTTCAAAGATGCAGTAGGAGATGACTTTTGGCATTTAAAAATGAATGCTGTAGCAACTTGAAGTTTAGAAGTACATGAGATGCCTCACTGGACAACGACAGGGGGACTGGAGCCATTACAAGGTCCCCTTCAATTACTGGAGGTCAGGCCTCTATCCCCGCCTTCGAAAGTTTAGAATTGCCACAGCCCTTCTATACTTAGAGAAGGGAGGAGATGTCAGGGGCAGCCCTGCTTACACACTGTAGGCCTAAAATCAGACATAGGCCTAAAATCAGCAATAGGCCTGTCATACATGTATACTAACACCAAGTCTTGGGTCTCAGTGGAAAAACATTGAAACAGATGGCTATAAGCTAATGTAGACAGGCAGCTTTTGTGGAAATTTACAAGCCTGAGTAGTCATAGACCTTGTAAATAGGTAGCCTTGGCAGACAATACCAACTTAGATAAGGTCAAGCGAGTCATAGGCAGAGTCATGGTGACTTGTCCCCTGAACCTTCACCCAGCCAATACCCGGTTCTGAAGATATCTGTATTCCCCCTGAACACCCACACTCCAGTGTCATCCCCTTCCCCACATCCTGCCTTTCTGTGTTTATAACCCCTGTGTGAATGAATTACGATTTGAGAAAAAATAAATTATAAAAAAAAAGAAAAAAAAAGAAGAAAGAAAACACCCTCTATTGTGAATCCTTGCTTGCTTTTCTTGGAGAGCTATATAATTTAGCCTGATTCCCAGATTATCTATGCAGAAAGGAATTTCAGATCCAAATATCATGAAGGATTGTATGTAATCGATGATGGCTAACATGTTTGCCTCACTTCCTTCCTTCCAGAATTTTGATATCTCCTTGCAAAGTGCAACAAATCCATTTTGGGATGAGTCTTGTAGACTCCTGGTTTCTCTCCATCATGGAGCCTGTCATTCTGGTCTGTATTTCTGTAATAAACATTGTACATAAAACAAAAAAAAAAAAGAAGTACATGAGAGAATATGATGAGAATGTGTTGATTATTATGTGGATTTATGCCAAATTGGTAATATTAAATCTTACAATCCATAAACACAGGGTTTTCCCCTATTTATATGGATTATTTTAATTTCATTCTATGAAATTTTATAATTTTTAGATTATAAATTTTGTATTCCATTTGTTAAATTTATTGCATAGTATCTTATTTAACAGATTGTAAGTAAATTTATTTCCTTAAAGCCATTTTCAGATTATTCATTGTTAGCATATAGAAATATAATTAATATTTCTTGGTATTGTTCATGTACTCTGCAATCTTACTGAACTTATCTATTGACTCTAACAATTTTCAGTGGATTACTTAGGAATTTTGATATTAAAAAAATCATATACAACTTAACTTTTAGCTAGAAGGATGGTTGAGTGGCTAAGAATACTGACTTCTCTTTCGAGTTTAGATTCCCAGTATCTGGCTGACAGTTCACAATCATCTGTAACTCCAATTCCTGAAGATCCAGTGTCCTCTTCTGGCTGCCTTGGGCATGCACATGGTACATATACATACAAGCAAAACACTCATTTGCATAAAATAAATAATTAAAAAAATTAAAAATAAAATTAAAATATTTTTTAGCAGTTTGTTTCCAATTTATACACTATGATACTTGCCTACTTTGTCTAGTTAAGCCCCCAGTATTGGACAGAAATGCCAGACCAACCTTCCCTTACTGAGCATATGAAACTTCTGAGAGTGACCTGAGGAACAAGGTAGACAGAATCATTGCTCCCAAAGATGTTTAAATCCACATACCTGGGACCAGTGAAAACATTAGATTATGTGGCGAAGGGAAGAAGGCGCTAACCAGCTGACCATAAAGTAACAAGATTGTCTCGTGATCACAGAATGATTACAAAGGTATAAGTAGATAGGATATGGGGAAGAGGGCGCACCGTGAAGGTGAGAGCAGGACGCTGCTCAGTGTGTCTCACTTAGAAGATGGAGGAAGACTGCTGGTAGGCAGAACATACAGACAGCCTTAGAAGCTAGAAAAGCTGAAGAGTTAGACTTTTCTCTTTCCTAATTAGTGTTGCTATTATGATGAAACACCATGACCAAGGCAACTTGGGAAGGAAAGGTTTCATTTCAGTTTACACTTCCAGGTAATTAATAATCCATCACCGAGGGAAGTCAGGGCAGGAACCCAATCCTGTAAACGTCTTTCTTATTTCCTCATGATGGGAGCTGTGCCCACACTGTGTGAATACATGGCTTGGGTGGAGCTTCCCCCAAGTCCTTCCAGATCCTCTCCTCATCCCTATACACCCAACTTTTTTTCAGAAACAAACAAATCTTCAAATACAACAATAAATACCCTCAAAACCAAGAAAATGCATCCCTGTGAATCTACCAAGCTGTAACCAAGTACAAGCATACAAAACCCTGTGACAGTCATTATATGTTGGTCAACTGCTCCTGAACATGAAGCCTGTCCTGGAGTGGTTGCTATGCCCATTGTCACTCTTGCAGGTACACCATTGTGGATAAAGGGTTTGTGGCTGGCTTGGTCTCTACTCTGATAGTGTATACAGTACCATTTTGTACCAAAGATGCTGGGGCATAGGGTTGAAGGCTGTATGTAGGCAGCAGCTTGACATCTCTAGGTCTTCAGCAATAAGGCCTTGCTATCAGTTTGTGGAAAGCAACTTATAGTCTTGTCAACAGCCTGGGTTTTTTTGGGATTCCATGGGACCCCTGTGGCTAACAACTCAATTGGATGTAACCCAATATCTGTACTGGAAGTTTCATTGAATGACAAGAGATGACCAGTTGGGACTCTGTCTTCTCCATTATTTGGCAGTTTCATTTAGATCATCTTCATGTATGTATATATTTCAGTAAGTTTCTACTGTATTGGGTTTCCATGCTACACCTCAAATACTCCTTAACTTTAGCTGTCTCTCCCCATAGTCCCTCCTATAATTTCCTCTCCCCCACTCTATCCTCCCATTTCATCCTTATCTATTTATTTCCTTTTCCTACTAAGATCTATCTGTT